TGCGGCCTCGCCCCCTTACCTGCGGCCCCGCCACCCTACCAGCGGCCCCGCCACCCTACCTGCAGCCCCGCGGCCTTACCTGCGGCCCCGCCGCCTTTACCTGTGGCCCAGCCGCCCTTAACTTCGGCCCCGTCACCTGTTGCAGCGCCGCCCGCCACCCGAGCCGCCCGAGCCGCCTCACCTAGCCGAGCAGCCGACCGCCGCGCCGCCCTGCAGCATTACCACCGAGCCGCCGGCGTCGCCGAGCTGCTGCCGAGCCGCCCGAGCCACCAGAGCCGCCCGAGCCGCCGAGTCGACGAGCCGCAGTTGCCGCCGAGCCGCCCGAGTTGCCCGAGCCGCCGAGCCGCAATTGCTGCCGTGCCGCCGTGCCGCCGAGCCGCCCGAGCCGCCCGCACCGCCGAGTCGCCAAGTCGCCGAGTCGTCGAGCCTGCTCTTCCCACCACTAGTGAGCCCCTGACTTACAAGCGCGCTGCCCGCCACCTGCTTGGCTACCTCCCTTACTGCTGCTACTCCTGCTCCTGCTTCTACTAGCGGAGCCGGATGCAGCCCCAGTGACGTCCGCGTGAGTCCCTCACGCCCCAGCAACTGCATGAGTGGTACGCTGGTTGGGGTTGTAGGGGTGGCGGCGCTGCTACTGCTACTCCTACTGGCGCCGGCCAGATGCAGCTCCAGCGACGCCCGCGCGTGTCTCTCACGCCCCAGCAGCTTTGTGAGTGGTACGCTCGGAGTAGAGGGTCTCTCAGTTCTGTTCGCTGCTCTTACGTGATTCGCACTGGTGCTCGGACTGGTCAGCCTTGTGGGACGCCTAGTCACACACAGTCCCGCTGCTTCGCCCGTCTGAGCGACGCCTGGCGTACCGAGTTTGGCGACGAGGCTGAGCTCCCCGACTGGGTGGAGTTGCTTAGGCAGAGGGTAGATATATTTGCTCTGGACTATGATGCTATTCTCACTGCCATGTATGCATTGCCTACTAGTGCTGACCGTGCCGGTCACCTGTGCGTACCGCCTGACCCGGGTATAGGGCCTGCTGCTCTAGCTGCTGGTGAGGCTGCTGCTCTGGGTGCTAGTGAGTCTCCTGCTCCAGGTACAGGTGCGGCTGCTGCTCTACGTGCTAGTGAGTCTGCTTCCTCAGGTGCGGGTGAGTCTGCTCTCTCAGGTACCGCGTCGGCTCCGGCCTCTCACACCTTCACTCTTGACTCGGGGGCTTCCCGCTCCTTCTTTCGAGACCGCACCACACTCACGCCGCTTGGTCAACCAATTGCAGTCTCTCTGGCAGACCCCTCTTGGAGTCCTATCCTTGCTCACTTCTCCACTGTCCTCCCGTGTCCGGCGGCCCCCTCTGGCACCCTGTCTGGTCTTTACCTACCCTCGTTCTCTACAAACTTGGTGAGTGGTGCTGACCTACAGGATGCGGGGGTTCACTCGTTCACTCCTGCGAGTCAGCGGGTGACCCACTGCACGGACGCTCGGACATGCCGACACGTGGCCACGTTTACACGTCGGCCGGGGTCGAGCCTGTACACACTGACCACTGCGTCTCCTCCAGTCACTGCGTCTGGTCAGGTAGCTGCGTCGGGTCAGGTGTTTGCTGCAGCGTCCAGGTCTGGTCCTGAGTCTGCCCCCTGCTCGTGTCGTCTCCTATCTCACGAGACTCTCCTCTGGCACCACCGCCTTGGTCACCCCTCCCTGCTTCGTCTCCGAAGCATGGCCTCCCGTGTCCTTGTCTCTGGTCTTCCCCAGTCCCTCCCTCCCCTTCCTCCGGGGCCTGGTCCTACCTGCGTCCCCTATGTCGAGGGGCGGCAGCGGGCTGCCCCTCACTCCTCTCAGTTTCCTCCGACTGAAGCCCCGCTGCAGACGCCTCACATGGACGTGTGGGGCCCAGCCCGCGTCCGTCGACAGGGTCACGAGCGCTACTTCTTGTTGGTGGTTGACGACTACTCGCGTTACACCACAGTCTTTCCCTTGCGTAGCAAGGGTGATGTCACTGAGGTGTTGATCGACTGGATCCGCGCAGCTCGTCTCGAGCTCAGGCGGAGCTTCGGCTCGGACTTTCCTGTTCTGTGTCAAAGGGTGCGTGTTGGTAAAACGATATTTCATATGGAAACCAAGCATTGAGGTGACTGTGACGTAAACAGAGCGCATACTAACGTGGCGTTGCTGGAACCGAAGGTTGAGCTGATTTAGCTCGAACAGGACGTCCGCCAGGAGCCGTAGAAGCTAGTGAAACTTGAATGACGCCGCCACTTCGTACATCGTCGGCGATTGGTCTTTCATCAAAACAATGGCAGCCGGGAGCACTTCCAGAAGACGAGACACGGCTTCCCCGCGAGATAACCAACGAACTGCATGGATGCCTTGGGCTTCCAGGTTGGTTTGACAAAAGGTGAGCTGTAGATTCATGAACCGCGCGTGCTGGACGTTGCTGTTGGATAGAAGGGAGGCAAACCCGCGCACGATGGTGTCGACAATATTGAGCTCCTTCACGGGAGTCGCAGCATCTTTCACCGCCAGAGCTTCACTGCAGGACAGAGGGTGGATCAGTGAACAAGGGGAGATGTTGCCCACGCATTAGGCTCAAACATGGAGTGAAGCATATGCACAACAACGCAAAGGGTTAAGGCATAAAACAATGCACATCATATAAACGAACCGATGCGCTACGATATGTGTGGAAACGAGGTGAGGAATCTTGGCGCGGAGACGCGCAACCACGCCATTGTGAACCCCGACCATCACGTTCGCGCCATCGGTGGCGATGCTGACCATCTTCTGAAGGTCCACACAAGTATGCTGCAGGAACTGAACGACGACAAATGCGAGCGAAGTGGCGTCTGTCCGCTCAACCGTGAGAAGAGATAAGAACTCGGTCGCCATCACCGTTCCCTTGAAGAATGTGCTGTAGATGATCAGGTGCTTCCCGTGGATGCGATCCGTACTCTCGTCAATGCCAATCCCGAACCACGGTGAGGTCAGCAGGTGCTGCAGCTGGAGGTCCTGGAGGTAAGTCGACATCGATGTGATCTTCTCCTTGAAACCGTAGCTGCACACACGGCGGACAGATGCGGAAGTATTAGTATTTGCCGACTATACAGGCAATAAAACATGCTACCAACAGAAGGAATGCATGAACTTACTCCGTATAGTATGCGCCATAGCCACCTGTGGGCGGTAGATCTGGAAGTCCCTCTCTAGCCAGGAACTAGCAGAGAGGTACAAAAAGGGCGATTAGAGCATCTGCCTTACATATGAACATGGCGATGTGCAGACAGCGGATTATGTGATGCGTTGATGCATCCGTGGCTTGCCAACGCGTGAGAGTCAGTTGACGCTCACGACGTGCCTCAGCCTCACCTTCCACCTTCAAAGCGGCCTTGTGCGCCCTAGTCGCAACATGGGCGCGCATGCTACTTAGCTGAAGATCGCGGCCACCCTCGCCCTTGATGTCGTACGTCGTGTTGGCAGCGGGGTCGCCATGCAGCATGCAGATGTTGCACTTCAACGAGGGCCGCCCTGCTTTCGTGCGATGCAAACGAAGCCACGGAATACGAGACGACAGTCAGAATCAAAACGATGCTTGATAATAGCATACTCAGTGTCTGCATCCGATTGGGATAGCTCCTCAGCCTCCACTAGCGGAGGTACACGTGGAGGACTTGGTGGTTTGCGTGGAGGCTTTGCACCCCACAGGAGCTGCTGGGTGTATTTCACACCACCGGTTCGAACACGCTTAGCTGGAGCGCTGTTGACCGTTGACGGAGTGCTCTCGCCTCCGTTTGAAGGGCCCTCATCACCACCAGGCACTAATGTCACGGACGGGTGTGGCTCCCACGCAGTCGGCGAGTTCAGTGCCTCCCACGCATACACCATGCCGAATGAATGGACTGGTGATTCGGGGCGAGGAGGTTCTTGGACAGGAGTGGCATAGGCTTTGCCCAGCCGGGGGAAAACCCCGAGCACAGAAAGTCCATTGCGAGGAGAAGCAGGTGCTTCTTCTCCTCCTGATTCCTCGTCTGGCATGGTAAGGTGGAGCTAGTGGAGCAGAGTAGGGGATAGAAGAAATGGCTGGAGAAGGTGAGGATGAAAGAGAAGGCACTCGTTCTAAGGATGTGGCCTTTCGACCACGCTGGATGTAAATGCTGTAGAGGCAGCGAATCACAAGTTTCCTAGTGTGGTCTGTTTTGTCGATGTGACAGTGCGACAGCGACTCGTCTGGCCGGTTTTGTAACCATCTCGGACTAGTGGCCACATGGGCCTTGTTGTACAGAAACCACACGAGGAAAGTTTGTTTCAGTGCATTTGAAAAAGTACTCTGACGAGTCAGGGGAGAACTCGGGGTGGCCTGATTTTGCAAGTGTATTTCAAAAATTACAAATATACAGTCAGGGTCAATTTGTAAATACACGTCCTATATCAGGGCATTCCTGGAAAAGCGGCCCATAGCAAGGGTAGAAATGGTAAAACACCCTTGAATTTTGGGCCCTGCTGCATTCCCTAAATGCAGCACTACCGTAAGCCCCCAGATAGAAGCGCAGGCCTAGGATAAGCGCCGGCACTTATAAAAGGATGAGGGCGCTTATATCCGGTCCTCGATTATAAGCGCATCCCCTAGAAAAAGATGATATATTATAAGCGCATGTTTGTTTTTTATTTGAAAACCTTTCAAATATCAGAAACGAGTTTCACATAATCAGGGAAACGAACTACAATTTCGATTTCCCACACTCTGAACTCACTTTATGCGCGTCTAGTCAGCATGTGGCTGGCAGGGAATCACTCCCTCCCAAGCTGCGCGAGGATCAGATTAGCGATCCTATATGTTTTCGACTCGATTAAAATCGGCAGAACGAGATATACAGTTTGGTGTAAAACAAATATATATTCTTTTTGCCATTTTATAAGCGCCGGCGCTTATAAAATTCCTCAATTATAAGCGCACCCCCTAAAAAAAAGTGTTTTTTTATAACCCCATGGGCGCTTCTATCCGGGGGCTGACGGTATCTTCAAGGGACCTGGTTCTCCTGCCTGGTAGTCCCTGCGCACACAGTAGTCGATCTCAGCTTGGTCAGGAGCAGCACGCAGAGATGGCACCAAGTCGGGAGGATGCAGAGCGCCCAACTGTCGCACCCATCCAAATGCTGCTGCCACTGCTCATACGATTGCTGCTGCTGCTGCGGCTGCTGCCGAAGCTGCTGCCAGTTGCACTGCTGCTGCCCACGCTACTGCAGCTTCTCACGCTGTCGGCTCTGTTGTCCTGCCTCATGCTTCGAGATCGCATCAGTGCGCGATGGTACCCCTGCCACGCTGCCGGTGCCGCGGCCCTCTGCCGGCTCGCTACATGCTGCTGCACGCCATTGTTTGCCACGCTAACCCGCCCTGCCATGCGCATGCTCCCCGTCTCCCCTTGCACTGCCTCCCGCACACCCTGCGTGGCGCCATCGCACCACCCATTCGCCCGAGCCTGCCCCTGCACCTCCACGTGTTCCAAGCCATGTTCGCACAGCGCATGGGTCACGCTTTGCCCGCTCGTGCGCGTCTGGGATCGCACCATCTGCGCGCGCCTGTTCGCCTCCTCCTCCCACCAGCTCGTGTCCGCGCGCACCATTGCCCCGTGTGCCTTCCCCTGCATGTTCGTCTCCGCCGCGGGATGCCGCGCGTCACACGAGGGGCTCGAAGAAAGGCCGCCCATGGCGAGCGCGTACGCGGAGCGCTCCGTGCCGCGAATAAACGTGGCGCTGCGCGAGCGGTGGCCGTTGAAGATCGGCCCGGCCGGTTGCGGCGACACGGATGGCGGGAAGGAGGCAGGGCGGAGGGGACCAGAGGCTGGCCGCGCGGGGCTGTCGCACCGGAGGACTGTGGGGCTGCATGGGCGAGAGGGAGAGGGCAGCGCGCGCACGCAGCGGTCAGCAAAGGGGGCAGTGGCTCGGCAATGCGGGGCGCAGCGGTGCTCCACCAACACGTACGTGCGGCCTGGCTCGAGCGGCGAGGAGGAGGTGACCGGGTGCATGGTCATGGCGCAGCACACGTCGGAGCCAGGGAACTCGCGACGGAGGGCGGCCACGGTGACCGCGTGGGGGTAGAGGCGCACGCCGCCGTCGGGGAGAAGTAGCAGCACGGACGGCGTGTCGCGAGTCATCCAGCCAAAAAATCGACGCGATTCCCAGATTGACGGCAGGAGCCGACGACGAGGTGACGATACGGCTGAGTCGTAGAATGTATCACTAGGTTGACCGATCATGGGATGAGCCATAGGGTTGAGTTTTTGAAGTCGAGAACAAGGAATTTGACGAGGAATGATTTATTGGATGTTGACGTTGGCGGAGGTTCTCAGGTTTGCCTAAATAGTCTTCAGCATTCCAGTGCGACTGGTTTCCTAGGTCAGACGAGTCAGCCCTTTCCACGTCCTTGCCAGCTGTGGATGCAGACCAGCGAGGTAGGCAGCTCCACGTTACCAAAACAACGACCCTTCAACTGGGTTCGTCGAAAGGTAACTTTCCAACACAAAGTTTCGTCCACAAAAGGGTTGAGTGACTGTTGGTCCTCATTCCATACAGGTCACTGTCCAGGAGGTTATGAACTCTGGACAAAATATGAAACGAAGTTCAATCCCAGCTCTTGTACAATTCAGATACGGCCTTACCCGCAGTTTCCTGAGGCAGAGGCAAATGTGACAACCAGAAGGGGCCGCCGCACGGACTTCGTTCGCTTGCAGGCTTGCCTGGGGTTTCCATGGAGGTGCAGGGAGCTGACGTCACGGAAGGGAGCCCAACATCCCATTTCCCTCTAACGGCACTGGCAAACGCGCTCCGTGAGTGCTATTTCTTGCTGCCACGTGTAGAGTTTTTGATGAAACACCTGCTGCCCAGAAGTGAAGCATGGGTTCGTGGAAAGTCAGCGCAAACATTGCCTCCAGACTCGACAACCGCACATTGACAATAAATTTATAAGGTTATGTTACGGGTGCAATGAATCTAGGTAGCGAGGAATGCACTAGAGTGATCAATGAGTACAAAGTAAGAGCGAAGGCATGAGCGAAACATGCAAACGGAGACGCGGTGCGTACAAGCTAGCTAGTGCTACGCTGGCGCGAGGTTCGGGCTAGTCCCGAAACGCTGGCCGAATCGGCTGCCAGCAGTGCGATGTTTGGTGAAATAGTGTGCGCGGAGTTGGCGAAGCCCCGTTAGCAGTAATGGGCGAACAACGGCTGCTGCTGTACGTGATGTTGACGGTCGCAGTAAGGAATAGTGAGAAAATTCCTTACACTACCCCCCCTCAAGAAGCCCCCTCCGCTACGAGAGTGCATGTATATCGCGGAACCCCGGCTCCTCAGGTACACTTGCAGGGCAGGGTGGTTTTCGATGTTAGCCAGGGGCACCCACCTATCCTCAGTTGGCGTGCGGTCCTTCCAGCAAACGAGGAACTCGTTCATCCTGATGTTGAACCCGATGGCTCAGGATTTTTTCGGGCTCGATGATCGGCTCCAATGCAGGGCAGGTCATTGATGGCGGGCGGCGACGAGGCAGTTGGCTCGTGGTTGCGATGTACGGGCGAAACAGGCTGGCGTGAAATGTTGGGATGATGTACCAGCCTGTCGGCAACAGTAAGTGGGCGGTAACTGGGGTGATCATGTGGCTCATTTGGAATGGTCCACCTCAGCGCGGTCGTAATTTCGGCACGACAGGCAGACAAAAGGTCGCGGCCCAAATTGCGGGCCGCGAAGGGCAGGATTACTAATCTTGGACTTTTTTTTTTCTGTGTTGTATCTTGGCAAACATTTGGTTATGATAGTTGCGACACATTTTGATTGGGCGAAGCGACACTCACTGCAAAAGCATAAAGTCTGCAATTTATGACTCTCAGTCCCAAAACACACGATCCCCCCTGAAGTTGCAGACCTAGCGAAAAACACGAACTGTTGCGATTGGTGGGGCAAAATCAAACAAACCACGTACCTAACAGCTCCCTCGACTTTGGGTTCGCCACTCCTACCCACCTGCACTCAGCCCAGCGCAAGATTACTAATCTTGCGCAATTTGGGCCGCGGGCTGTGTGTCGAGCAATACGTAATCTCCTGACTGGTACATGACTGGGTGGCGGTGGCAGTTAGCGTTGCGCTTTGCGATGACGTTGGTTTTTTCAATTGCTTCTGCGGCTCTTTTGAGTGCAGCTTGCAGAATCTCGGCGAATTGTTGTGCACGTGGCGTTGGGTTGTCTGGACTCGGAGTCATGGGCACTGTAGGGTTTTGCCTGTAGTTCAGGTAGAACGGGGACTGCTGCGTCGTCGCTGACGTGGCAATGTTGTAGGCGAACTCGATCAGCGGCAGCACGAATCAACTAACAAGCGGATAGTCCAACAAGCGGATCTGTCGCAGGTTGAGATTCGGTTGGGCGCGGAGGTACTGTAGGGATCCGTGGTCTGTTCGTACTGTCACGTCTGCTCCGGTGAGGTAGCATCGCCACAGTTTGAACGCGTGCACGATCGGCAGCGTCTCGCGGTCGTGTATCGGGTAGTTGTGTTCGGGCAGGTAAAGCTTGCGGGACTCGTGCGCGATTGGCTGGAGGTCGTTCCCGAAGTCCTGCAACAGTACTGCTCCGACGGCGATGTCGCTTGCGTTAGTTACAAGTTCGAACGGACGGTGCGGATCTGCGATGTGAAGCACGGGCGGCGAGCACAAACCTTGTTTGAGGCCCGAGAAGGCAGCTTGCTCCTTATCCCCCCACGTGTACTCAATCCCCTTCCTCAGCAGGTAGGTCACGGAGAAGTCAACTTCGCCATGTCGGGGACGAACCGGTGCACGTAGTTGATGAATCCCAAAAAACTCCGCAACTCGGTCAAGTTTGTCGGCGTGTGCCATGCTTGAATCGTCACAATCTTCTTCGGCTCTATTTGTCAGAACATTATAGTTTATGCTTTTGTGTAGGCTATAGTGGGGTATGCCATAGGGGGTACAACCCAATTAGGGTTGGTACTTGTACTCACTCATTTCATAGTTGATTCATTCGTGTTCTTTCGTTTCTCATGGAATCAGAGCAGGTTCCCTCCTAGGGACTGCTTCTAGGGCCCACCGAAGCGCGCCCCGAGGCGCGCCTCCTTTTTTTTTTTTTAGCGACCCTCCGTGTCGCCCCTAGCGGCCCGTCGAGCCGCCCCTTCCACTTAGCGGCCCCGCCGCCCTGCGCTTAGCGGCCCCGCCGCCCTTACGTCTCGGCCCCGCCCCGCCCTGCACTTAGCGGCCCCGCCGCCCTTCCCTAGCGGACCCGCCGCCCTGCATTACGCGGCCCCGCCGCCCTGCATTACGCGGCCCCGCCGCCCTTCCTTAGCGGCCCCGCCGCCCTGCATTACGCGGCCCCGCCGCCCTTCACTCGCAGCCTCGCCGCCCTGCACGTCGCGGCCCCGCCGCCCTGCATGTCGCGGCCCCGCCGCCCTTCCTTAGCGGCCCTGCCGCCCTGCATTACGCGGCCCCGCCGCCCTTCACTCGCGGCCTCGCCGCCCTGCACGTCGCGGCCTTGCCGCCCTGCACCTAGCGGCCCCGCCGCCCTGCACTTCGCGGCCCCGCCGCCCTGCACATCGCGGCCTCGCCGCCCTGCACTACGCGGCCCCGCCGCCCTGCACATCGCGGCCTCGCCACCCTGCACTTAGCGGCCTCGCCGCCCTGCACTTAGCGGCCCCGCCGCCCTGCACTTAGCGGCCCCGCCGCCCTTCCTTCGCGGCCCAGCCTCCCTGCACGTCGCGGCCCTGCCGCCCCCTGCACTTCGCGGCCTTGCCGCCCTTCACTCGCGGCCCCGCCGCCCTTCCTTCGCGGCCCCGCCGCCCTGCACGGCACGGCCCCGCCGCCCCTCTACCGCGGCCCTGCCGCCCTGCACTTCGCGGCCTTGCCGCCCTCCCTTAGTGGCCCCGCCGCTCTACCCTTAGCGGCTCCGCCGCACTGCACTTAGCGGCCCCGACGCCCTGCACTTAACGGCCCCGCCGCCCTCAGCTCCTCGCCCACTGCATCGTGCACCCGAGCAGCCGACCGCCGCGCCGCCGAGTACCGGGAGGGCCGAGCCGCCCTGCAGCTGCGCAGCCAAGCCGCCCAGCAGCCGAGCCGTCGAGCCGCCCAGCTGCCGAGCCGTCGAGCCGCCAAGCCGCCCAGCAGCCGAGCCGCCGAGCAGCCGAGCCGCCGAGCCGCCCAGCAGCCGAGCCGCCGAGCCGCCCAGCAGCCGAGCCGTCGAGCCGCCCAGCAGCCGAGCCGCCCCGCAGCCGAGCCGCCCTTCTGCCGAGCTGCCTGTCCTGCCCCGTCTGGTGAGCACGCCCCACTGCTACTGCGTGCCCTGTCCCCCCCCCCCACTGCTTGCACTGCTAGTCTGTCGTCATGGCTACCCCCAGTGTCCTCGCTTTTGACGCTGAGGGTCGAGCCATTGACTTTGAGGTCTGGGTCGACGACCTGCAGTTGTTTTTACAGTGCGATAGGGCCGACGGTCTTTCTCTCTTTGACCTCACCTCTGGCGCCTCTCCTGCTCCTGCTGCTGATGCTGACCCCACTGTTCGCTCTCAGTGGGCCACCCGCGATGCTGCTGCACGTCTTGCTGTGCGTCGCCACCTCCCTACCACTGAGCGCGCGCACTTTAGTCAGTACAAGAGTGCTCAGACCTTGTACGACACTATAGTTGCGCGCTACTCTTCCCCTGCCACTGCTGCACTGAGCCGCCTCATGCTACCGTACCTCTTTCCTGACCTTGCTGCCTTTCCCACAGTCGCTGACCTCATTACGCACCTCCGCACTAGTGACACCCGCTACCGCGCCGCCCTTCTTGCTGAGTTCTGCGCCAAGAACCCCCCCCCCCTTGTACATCGCTCTCTATTACATAGTCACTCGCCTCCCTGACTCCCTTCGCGTAGTCAGGGACCACTTCCTCTCAGTCTGTCCCACCACTCCCACTGTTGACCTCCTCGAGAAGGCCCTCCTAGCGGCAGAGAAGAGCATAGTCGCTGTAGGAGCCTCCCGTGGAGACCCGCGCACCCCCATCTTTGAGGGGTGTTCTCCTTCCCCCCTGCTGCCCTCTGTTGCCTCTGCTGCTGCTGCCGACCTGCTTGGTCTTGAGTCGGTCGGCTCGGCGTCTGCCCCTAGCGGGAGACGCCGCCCTGGCAAGGGCAAGGGG